TAATATATATAATAATTAATTATATATATATATATATATATATATATATATATGTAATATATATATATAAATACTCTAAATTTATAATTTATTATAAAATAATGAATTTTTTTAGTTTTTAAAATTCATTAAAAATCAAATTAGTTAAAATTCAATGAAAAAGAAAAAGAAATATGACACAAAGATAATTAAATTACTTTACAAAAAATGATTTGGAAAATTCAATTAATTAAGAAATTAAATAGAGAATACGTACGGCATATACGCGAGAGCACCTTATAGACGCTTTGAAATGATTTTGTATTATTTTTCCCTTTTAAACGCATCACTACCACCACATTTTCACGTGATTTATTATTACTTGATACCGCTTTTTATTTGGTTCATCCCTTTCTCGATTCTACCAATTAGTCACTAATTCAGTAATAAGAAATTTGACATATGTCAAATAACCTATTTAGTATATGAAAGTAGCTACAAAAGAATTACTAATAAGTATGTATATTCATGCTACATTTACGAAACAATATATGAACATCAACAAACAATACAAGTTATTAATATTCACTAAACATAAAATTATATACTTTATTTATAATTGAAAAACGATACTGAGATTTTTTTCTTTATTTCTATATCAAAATTAAAACTTTTTATTCACTCATTTTACTCGTTCGATTTTAGTAATTCAATTATGAGTTCATTGCCTTACAGTTATGCCAACAATACAATTGAATAATGTTATTTTATGAAAGTAATCAAAATAAATATACAACACTTTTCATTTTCAATCTTTTTTCATAAATATATTTTTTATAAATATATATATATGCATATATATATTTAATGAATAAATATTTTAATTTTTTAAATTAGATTTAATTGAATATTTGTAGTGGTATGAATGATGTTTTACTTTTAGCCCCATTCATTATGAACAGAAAATATAAATCATCTTGTTCTCATCAAAATTAAGTTTTATATATCGTATACTTTAAAATATCATTCTTTCGAATTAAAAAAAATTGATTTTTGCTTCTATTTTTCATACATATTACATAAAAAATTGTTTTTTTTTTATTATTGTTTTAAAATGTCAAATATTCCAAAGAAAAGGAAAACTCCATCAAAATTAAAGGTGATTCGTTACTATATTTTATAACACATTTAAAAATATTTTATTAGATTTCTACTTCTTTACAGAGTATGGGTAATCATGACGACTTTTTAAATCGTATATCTAAATCGCTTTATTATGCAAAATTGCCAGTGACTGATTGCCTCAGTTTGCCTGTTACTGGTTAGTATTACTAATTTTATATATATATATATATTCTTTATTGATTAAATTATATTAAATAAAGAGTTATAAATATTTTATAATTTTATATTTTAATTATACTAATGTTTTATAAATATTATTTAAGCTAAAAATAATTTATATTTTTTATAACCTATATGTTATTATTTCTTATTTATTTTGTTTCTTATATATTTAATAAATTTATTTATTATAATAATCCAGAAGAATACTTAATGTTTTAATAATGTTATACAAATAAAATATTTTTTATTAAATATATATGATTATATAATAAAAATTTATTCTTAGAATTGGCAGCAGAATTATTCACTGAAGTAAAGAGTGGTTATACACTTGAAAGATTAGATGTAGAAGAGGCTAGCAGAATTTCTAGAAATGCATGTGTATCACCATGTTCTCTTGTTTTGGCATTGTTATATTTGGAAAGATTAAAAGATTGTAATCCAGAATATCTTCAACAAGTAGCACCTTCTGAGCTCTTCCTTGTTTCTTTGGTATTATCTTTTTATTAATTATTATAATTATTATATATTATTATATAAAATTATTATATAAAATTAATTTTTAAGAAATATTATAAAACATATATGATATTTTCTATTTTGTAGATGGTGGCTAGTAATTTTTAAATGATGAAGGAGAGGAAGATGAAGTTTTCAATACTGAATGGGCACAATCAGCTGATTTGACTATATTGGAAATAAATCGGTTAGAAAAAGATTTTCTTAAAGCTATTGTAAGTAAATTAATATTACTTTATATTATTTTATATATATTTTATAATCAATTATGATTTTAAAATTTATGGTTTATTCATTAATTTTATTAATTAGGATTGGACTGTTTTTGTTCATAATCAAGATTTTTGGGAAAGATTGCAAAAATTAGAAAGAGATATAGCTTATAAGGAAGCACAAAAAAGAGGCTGGTTTTCATATACAGAATTAAGTTGTCTAATGAATTCAATGCAATTAATTGCAGTAGCACATGCTGTAATAAATGTATCATCCATTTGTTTGGCAACATATACTGCAGGAGTAGTTACGCTTTTAGGCTCTGCTTTAGTTGCAAGCTATCTTCCAGGAACAGTACTTAACAATCCAAGACAAGCAACTAATTCTACAGATATTATGAAAGCAGATTTTAATTCAGAGATGGATATAACATCATCACCTATTGAAGTTTTATCAGAAAATGTTTTAACAACAGATTTTATATCTACTTCTCTCTCATTAAATTGCAATCAGTCTCAACAGAATTGTGAACATATTAACATCCACAAGATTACTAATGTAAATTGGAAATGGTTAAGTTCCATAATGATTTGGTTACCACAACATTCAGATGTAGAATCGAAAAAATCATTGCAAACAACAACCGATAAAACCAAACATGTAGACACATCAATGACAACCAAATTTCTATTTGATGTTACTATATCAGATGAATCTTTAATAAAATTCTGGAAACAAATTTTGAGCATAGATTTGAAAATATTTTTGCATGACTGGCGATATTATGTAAATTATATTACAAAATTTACATTTGATCATCAGCATTGAATATTATATATTAAAATATTAAACATTTATCAAAATATATTATTTTTATTAAAAAAGTTTTCAAAAAAGAAAAATATATATTTTTTCTACTAACTTGTAATTCATAAAAACTTCTATACTAACAAAATCATTTTTTCAATAAAGAATATGAAATATCTATGAAAGTATTAATTTTTTTATACTATGATAACCTTAAAATATAAGTTTTATATTCTTAGATAACAATAATAATAATTATTGATAGTAATAATATTAAGATATAAGACATAAAATGATTTATTTTTTACTTTTGCTACTTATACAGCTTTGATAATACATTACAATTATATATATTCATCTTACAGAGATTATATAATATATATTACACAAACATTGTGATTGTCATTAAATTAACATTGCAAATAATTACGAAATTTCAAGTCAAGAATATTTAGAAAATTATCTAGTAGATAATTCTTTTTTTATTATTATAATTTAACATATACAATTTCAATCATTGTTATGAAAATAGGAAAAAATTGGAATAGGTGTCATCCCAATAATACAACCAATTGTAACTCCAATAACTCGTCCCTAAATTAAAAATTTTTTCTAAGTTTTCTTATTCAATGTAAATCATTAATAATAAAATAAATATATTATACCATATTAGCAGCTGCTTTTGTTCTACGAAGATTTAATTGCATAGGTGTAAGTTTTGGTGCTTTAAAACCAACACTTTGAGCAAAACGTTCTACATAATGTACAGATCCAATTCCTATTATATCAGATATTGTATTTCCTAAAGCAGCAGCCGTCATAGTTGAAATTGGAAATTTTTTATTCAATATTATTTCAATTTGATCTCCCTGAAATGATGATAATATTAATTTTAATATAAATGGTATATATTCATTATACGTACAGCAACTATCATGATGAAATTGTCAAGAAAACCGAAACCAATGAATGGAATTGCATTTGAAATCGCAACTGTAAAAATATATGTTTTTACATATTTATATACATGTATGTAATTAATATTACATATTTTATATTTTATAATATTAATTAAATATCCTTTATAGAAAAGTCAGATATATTATAATTTTCTATTACATAAATTATTTTACTATGCATATATTTTTAAAAAATATTTTATTAAATATTAAAGTATTTAAAAATTCATACCTAAAATTAGAACTTTTGTAGATGGTTCTGGAACAGTTTCAACTGCAATAGGAAAGAAAAAAATTTGAAGATGTGTGCTTTTATAACATAGAATAATAATAATTAATTAATAAGTATGTGTAAAAATTGAATTTTTTTTTTAATATCTATAACACATAAAATTCATGCATTTATTTCTTTACATATATATACTATTTATAAAATATGATTTTATATAAATTTTAAATAATAATTTTATAAATTATTTATTCAAATATTAAATAACAATACAATATAAACAAAATACTTAATTATATTAATTATTTAGTGAAAAATGAAAATTTATAGGAAAATTAATTAATTAAATACACAAAATTTTGAAAAACAAAATTTTATTCAAACAAAAATACATTTTTTTTTTATTTATTAATTTTATCTAAAAAGTAGTTACATCAAATTTGTTAAATATAATATATAAATATATTAAGTATATCAATATTAGTAATAAGTATTAGATATATTAATGCTTAATATTTTATAAAACATATTCTACATTGAGAAAAGAGTATTTATAGAGCCATGCAAACATAAAATATATAAAAATTGAGGATAAGAAGGTAATAAAAAACAAAATGTTATGTAAAGTTCTTATAATTTTGTTTATATAATGAAAATTTCTAAAGTTATTTACCTAAATGTTCAATTTATTTTTATTTGGGTATCTTGCTGCATTCATTATGTTCATTGTTGAATTAATAGATGAAACTCATTATAAAGTTCTTGTAAAAAATATGCATTTTTCAAAGTGTTCAATATCTTCAAAAAATCATAAATGTATTTAAATTATTTTATGAAATTATAAGAATTATTATTTAATAAAATAACATATATATATATTTATTTTTTAAAAAGATATGAAATATAAAATGAAATATAAAAAACATTCTTGCAAAAAAATGTTTTTTTTAAATTTACAAATATTTATCATTATATATTATGTTCTTATATTGAATAAATTTATACTTTCTTTAGTTGAAAAAATATATAATATAAAAACATAATTTGAATAATTTTAATTGCTTTTATAAGCATATAATATTATTGTGTATATTGTGTTAAAAATAGAATGTATATGTAATGTAATATATTACCTAAGTGTGGTTCTGTAGTTGTCTTTTTAAAACATCCAGAAAGTTCAGTCAGAATAGAGGAAGTAAGTAAAATAATTAAAACACATAATTGTATGAAATATATAATTCAATTTAATAAAATGGACTTACAGATTGATATCCATGTGGAGTGCGCGATGGAAGAAAATTTTTTATACTGTTAAAGAATAATGAAAATTATACTGAATCACAATATGATAATAATAAATATTTTCACTTTTAAAATTCAAACTAATAAGAATAATACAAAATTTATATATTTTAACAATATTAAAATTTACCTTTTTAAGTTGCAAGTTAATTTAGTAATATAAAAAAATTATATTTTGCTTTATTATTATAAATTGTTATTTACTAATCATTAGAAAAATTAGAAAAATTAAAATGTTTTTAAATTCCTACCATACTTACGTATAAGCCAATCTTCAGGTATAGGACAATATGTGCCTGTAGGATCCACATTTCCTAATGATGGTATTTTACTAGGCCTTCCAAGTTTATTGCACCATCGAAAAG